TTTCAAACTAGATGAAAAGCACAAAGCCTGGAATGCAAATTGACAATCCTTATGATCCTACTGGTAGATGTTTAGCTGGTGCTCTGCATTGTAAAACAGGGGATTTGTCTTTTTGGTTTGCAAATTGAACAGAGTGCAGGCATTGCCTGTGGCCTAGTGTTTTCTGAACACTACTACTGCCAGCAGTCCCTGCAGGTAAGCAGGTAAAAATCAGAACTTGAGCACTCCCTAGAGGCTGCACTGAAACAGCTGTGGAGTTTGGGCAATAGGACAGCAGTTTCTTAGCTCCAGGGTGAGTGTTGGGAAGATGGTAATAATATGGCCAAAAGGCAAAGCCTGTAAATGCTACTAATGCAGTTCCTGTCAGGACAACACAAATGTATGTGGATCCAGACCCAAAACAAGGTATGGAAATCTCAATTGTTTCCATGGGAATTAGGTCAGTGCCTTTTCTCCCAACAGAAGGAGCTGCAGATGACTTCTGAAGTGACACTCCCTCAGTCTGGCTTTTTCTTCACAATCAAGCAGTCTTTATTTTCTCCAGCATCTTCAGAGTGTGTTTTCTTTTTCCTGCAGCCAAAAATATACCCCTCCCTTGTTTCATAAACAAAGTTTTTTTGTCAGTATTCCAATTGTTTTGAGCTCTATGATACAATTGCATTACCACTTTGCTCTTGTGGAAAATCTCTTTTTTCCAAAAAAGCTGGAAGAATGCTGTAGTTCCAGTCCACCCACCACCTGTTTGAATGGGATTACATTACAGCAGTCATCAATTAATAATGTCCCTTGTCCTTGGTCCAGAAAATGCATAATGCTGTTCTGCACCAGAAAGCTGACAGACTTCATTAAGATCTGAAAACTGTTGTATAAGAGATTTTATGAAATAATTCCCTAACAGTTTGTAGAGATTCCCTGAATTGATACTTAAGCTTTTAAATTGTAAAAGCACTAATTAAAATAAGGGTTTGGGGGAGGTGAGGGTATGGGATGGAGAAAGGGATACAACAACAGTAAATTCGATTAGGAAAAAACCCCTACTTGCTGTGGCTAGAATGAGATGTCTTTTCAAGAATAAAGACTGAACTGTATTCTAAGAATTGGGTTTCATATTTGTTTCCGCCCCAGCCTTGTAAGCATGGGCTGGTTAATTTTTTTTTTTTTTAATTTTTAAAATTTTGTTTTAGCTGCTGTGGCCAGCAGTGTTTGCGATGTGTCTCAACAGTGTTCCTGTTATTTATTTTAACACTGTTAAAATAAATAGCATTTGCCACTTACCTTAAAAGTTACAGCTCTACATGGGAAGGAGAAGTGAACACATCAGCAGAAGTTTGGGGTTTTATACAATTCTTACCTCTCTTTTGGATCTGTCTTCAATTGAGCAGATTAACTAGGAAATGAACTTTAAGTTCTTACTACGAGATGTTCCACAGTTGATTGTTTTCTTTGCAGTGGCTCTAATAGCATGCTGATGCCTATTGTGCAAGACAAAAGTTCCTGGTACTACTTCTATCACCATGAAAATTCTTTATAAATCACATTTCCTCTCCGTGTTCCCCTTTATCTCAGGTTGCTTGAGACACCACACCAAGACTTATGGTCTATATATTATAAAAATACATATTTCCCAGTATGATAAGTCAGACTGATGGTAGCAGGAAGACTAGGAAATTTGCCTTTGAAAATTAGTGTTTGTGCAGAAGGAGAACTTGATTGACATCAAGAAATGTCAGACATGATGCCTGTCACGTTAGAAAATATGCAAAGTTTGCTCAAGAATGTGTGTACTGGAAAAATAGCTAGCCCTGTGGGATCAGGCATTGGCTCCAGCAGGTCTTCAATATGTGGAATAGTTGCAAGTGGACCTGAATCTCTTCTCATTAGTGAAGCCTGGGAGATCAGGAAGGGCTGCATCACCCAGGCTCATTATCCCAGGGCACAAGAGGTTACACAGCCTCACAGAATACCTGTGCACTCCGCTTCCTCCACTGCTCCTGAGCTCCAGAGGCCATTTTGCTCATGGAGCCTGCTCACTCTGGGATTCTTGTGGCTGGTGGACACTTGCTTTGTGTTGGACAAGGCTGTGGTCAACTTGGCCAAGCACAAAGCTGTCTTCCAAATCCTCTGTCCCTGCCTGTTGCGTATTGCCAGCTTCAGCCGGGTTTGTTTGCCTGGGTTGGATTCCCTAATGCAGGAGGATGTGGGATGAGATGTAAGTCAGATGTAGCTGACTTACAGACATACCATACAGAAGAGAGATTTTCTGGTACTGAAGGGACAGATAGACTTTAGATGACGACTCACAGTCACCACATTGAGTTTCTCCAGCTGAGTAGGTCTTGCTGGTGTTTTCCAGGACACTGGCATTTCTCCCTACAGCCAGGCAAGCAGACTGTCCTCTATGAGGATGTGGCTACTGACAGCTACTGACAGGTAGGTGTCCACCTACCTCATGTGCTGTAGGTACAGTGGGATGGGGCCCTCCCTGTCACTTTTACACAGCTCATTACTCCTTCAAGCAGTAGATGCTGCTCACAAACTGAAACCAAAGGACAAGAAAAGCATCATTGTAAGGACTGGCAGCACCATACGTGGAAAATACCAGTATTACAGAGGTTCTGTCTGGTTACAGTCAGTGCTTCACTCCTGCTTCCCTCAAGGTTTTCTTACTTTTTCCACTCCAGTAATTCAAACATCACCTTTTCTGTGAGCCACGTATGTCCTTCTTCCTTCCCCTCTTTCTTCAATCTTCTTCCTTCCCTGAGTGTCTGCCAGACAACCCCAGGCTGGGGAGCAATCTCCCCAAGTTCTGGGTGAGATGATGGAAGCAAGTGATTTCTTCAATTCTATAAGCAGAATTTCCCTTTTGTGAATGTGCTATCTCCCTGAAGTCCTACTTTAAAGAAACTTCCCTCTTAAAGAGGCTCTTCTGGTGCCACACCTTGTGCCCCAATTAGCATCCAACTAGTTCCTACAGTTTTTGACCCCTCTTCTCTTCTTCTCATTTCCCATGCTCCTGCTTCAGGAGGTCATGGTGAAAAAGAAGAAACCAATCAAGCTGTCCCTGCATAAACCTGGCTTGTGACGTTTTGAAACTGCTCCAACAACAGACGGTACGGCCAGGGGAGTGCAGAGTGGCAGGGCTGTGCTCAGCTGTGAGTACCTGGCAAGGACAAAATCCTTCAGGAGGAGCAGGTGCACTGCCTAACATTGCAGTCGTACATGCAGGGACTTTGTGCAGCTGTCAGAAACTCAGCCTTGTCTCTGAGCAAGTATTGCTGCTGTACAAACAGCTAAGGAATACGTTTATCACTCTGAAATTGTCTTTCTTTGCAGGATAGTGAGGTAATTCCACAAAATTCCCCTAGCTCAAAGCAGCACCCACACTTGTCCCTTATCTGCCACTGTGTCAGTCACCTGAGCACAGCCCCCAAGCCAACTCTCTCTCCCTTCCACCAATGTGGCTGTCCTCCTCCAGGCACTTCAGCTGCAAGCTGTTCCTAGGAAATTCTCCAGTTGACAAAATCGTGTGCAGCTCCCACAGATGTTGGCCAAAATCCTGTTGGGCAATCCTCTTCACGTCATGTGCTGCAAGTTAAAGGGCGGCTGTTTCATGGCCCACAAAACACAGAGGTTTTTCCACAGTGGCTTCTAGACAAAGTCATGTGTACCCTGTGGCCTAAAAGGGACTCTGGCACAAAGCAGAAAGCACATCAATCTCACTGCACAGATGGGCTGTAAGTGTCTGCCTCTTGGGTAGCTTGTGATGCAGTTTAATAAGAGAAGAAAGGAACACACGTGAAGAGTAAGCAGTGGAAAATAATGAAAAATGAAAGCAGTGCAGTGTGACCTGCAGATACCTAAGCCTATGACAGAAAGCACAGGTCTTGCTGTGAATCCAAACTGAGGGGAAGAGTGGCTCTGGATACTGCGGGCCCCTCTGTGGCTCTTCCATTATGTGCAGGAGGTAGTAGCAAGCAGGACATCATCCCAGCCCTTAGTGCACTATCTGGTGACAGCAAGTTACTGACTGATGTCCAGTAACTTGCTCAGCAAGAGATGCATTTCAGCTTCACCTTCTCTCTTTTCTAGGCAGACTTCTCCCTTTACCCTGAGAGAGAGGCTATTAGTCCTCATTTATACATGTTACTGCATATTTGTATAACCCTGGTTTTACATTCTGTGCCATACAGAATAGAAATACAGAACAGAAACACAGAACAGTTTGACTGGGGACTTGGCACTAATAAATATGTAAAGGCGCGTAGAGAACAGATACCTGCTATAAAGTGAATCAAATGAAGTTTTGTCCATGTCATTTAGAACATCTAAGGCAGACTGTGCTCACTGTAACCCAGAAGTCCACTCACAGGAGGGGATGATGGGGTGCTAAAGCCTGAGCCACTTGGATACTTGGTGTTTGTTAGGTCACTGTACTGAGTTCTCCCTCCGGGGGTTTGATACAGAACTGAACCAGTGACATTTCTTCTGCCTGTTTGTATGTTTTGGCTGCTACTGCCCTTCCATGAATCTGCAGTCTGCTAGCTTTGTTTGTGACATTCCAGGATTGTTTTCAGATTTTTGAACCCAGGAAAAAGGAAAACTGAAATGCGACAGAGGCACTGTGTAGAGATGGAAGGGACTAGGGGGTCCTCACTTCTTAAGAGGAAAACATATATAGTGGAATTTCTTGCAATGAAAAGCTTCCTATAACCATTGCAGCAGAAAGTCAATCGTTGAAAAGGAAGCTTAAACAATTCTGCCAAAAACATCACAATAAAGTTTTCCAAGTTTCCAAAATATGACGGAAAATATCCTTCGGGGTCAACAAGTTGAACTGCAAGCCCTTCCCAGGGCTGTGACCAGAAACACAGAAAGATGGGTCCATTCCAAGAGAGGCTGCTGGGATCCGAAGCAGCACGGGAAGACGCCCCAGGCGAGCTGCTGTGGCTTGGGGCGCGGCACTGTCGCGGAGAGGGTGGCAGCTGCTCGGCAGCGCTGCCATGGCCCAGACACAGCTCAGCTCCTGGCTGCTCCTGTGTGTGTTTGCTGCATCCCAGAGGCTAACAGGTAGGGAGCACATCTGTTAGGGACACGGCTCCTTGGCTTGGCAAACCTTTGTGCAACGCCGCTTGTGTGATGCTTTGCTGCTGCTTCAAAAGTGGCCCGAGGCTTCAGGCAGCTGCGCTGGCACGGGATAGGGCTGGAGCCCAGCTGGGGGGGTTGGCTGGTCGGGGCACTGCTACCTCCTTGCAGGTTGAAGATCTGCTGCTGTGTTTGGTGGCAAGGGGAGGATTTTCTTGGATCTCCGCTGAAAAAATAATCTCCTGCAATAATGTTTGTGGGATTTTTATATGCTTTTTGGGAAACAAAACCCCACCCAACCCTGCTGAGTGATAAAATAAGTAAGGATTTTCCCTTCCCCAGAGGATATTTATGTTATTATTTCAATACATTATTTGTTATGCTTTGTTAAATTTTTCTCTACTCAAAAATATTTATGAGGCAGTTACTTCTAAAGGCAGTCTGGCATCTATTCAACAAAAGCACTGACTTTGCAGCCAGTCAGACATCTCTCAGGAGGGGGATCTGTGAGCCGAGAGCATCGGTTACTGCAGATAGTGCCACCAAAGAAATTTTCAGATGATATAACACTTTCACCTGAGCTAAAAGCCTTACTGGTACATCTGTGGAGGAGTAGGAAAAAGCAGCTACATCTCAGCTCACATTCCAAAGCCACAGCTGGCTTGGATCACAGAGCCTGCAGCTGTGCAGAGAAACAAACCTCTGCAGCCTGTGGGCTGGCAGTGCACTTCTCCAGGCAGCTCGTGCATCTCCCTGAAAAGGTCTAATCAAAATTGGAGATTTGGAAGTGTCTTTTGGTAGCAGTCATCACACATGTATAGTGCTAAATAATTTTTCTACTTTTCATATGCACCTGCTGACTTTAACTCTGGAGTATTCAATGTAAATCCTCTTTTTTTTTTAAATATATATATGAAAAAGCCTTCATCCATTTAAAAATATTAAAAAACCCACCATGAATATATTAGAGAGCTTACTATTTTATATGAGCTTTTTCAAATTCATGTTTCTTAACCTGAAGGATGAGTCTGTAAGAAGTAGAAGAGGGTCTTGGCTACCTCATGGCACTGATAACACAGAGGAGGGAGGGATGCAGCCTCTCTCTCACAGACCTGGACCAAGACTGCTTGTGTCTCATTTTTCATACACACACAAGAAAAGAAATAAAATAAATGCAGACAGTTAAAGCACTGTAAACATTAGGAAATGAAAATCGAACAATTCTTAGGATTAATGTGACTTTCATATTCAAAAACTGCCATTCTTCTGGCCTCATACCTATTTTCCCCAAATTACATGATGTCATGTGTTCCAGCAAGTAATTAGCTGGATCTGACAAGGTTTCTTTTACCCTCACACTCTTCCAGCGGCAGAATCTTAGGGAAGAAGTAGAAAACCAGGATAAGCATCAGTTTGTGTTTCTAGCAGCAGCTTGAGGAGCCTGCCGGCACACTCCTTTCATTGGGCAGCATTACTTTCTCCAGCAAAAACTGCTAACCAGCCAAACCCATCGGCTCAAACCCCATCCATTCTCGGTGTGAGAGGCATCCTTGCTGCCTGTCAAAGCAGTGCCTTTGCTGCTGTATGCTTTAGCTCTGCTGGCGGCACTAAGGGCGGTGAGATCCAAAACCTCGCCTCAACCATTGCTGCTTCTCTTAAAAAGCTTGTTTTGCTTATCAAAATCCCGTGGTCAGCATCTGTCATATTTGGCAAGCCGAGTGGTAGCTCAGGAATGTTGAAGACGTTATTGACAATCAAATGACAAAAACAGTAAACAGGAAGGTCTTGTGCTACCAAGCTCTGTCTGATGTCTTCCAGATGAACACCCTCACAGCGGCACCAACAGAGCCCGTCGTGGCCCAGAGGACGCTGGCATCATGTTAGAGGTCTCCTGAGCACTGGGGGCCCTGGGCCGAGGCACTGTTCGTGCCCATGCCCCCACCTGCCTGCACGTAAAAACTCACCCGTTCTGTTTGTTCTCACCCCTGACGGGTTCCAGGAGCTCCCGGAGAACGCCTCGGCGGTGCCTAATGGCATTGGTGCTCGCTCCCGCTGCGGGGTGCGGCCCGGGGCGGCCGTGCCCCAGCCGCGGCCCTCACGGGGTGCCCGCGGAGGCACAAGGGGCCCTCCCCGCCGGCTCTGGTGGCGGCCCCGCAGGCGGCCAAGCCCCCGCCCGAGCGGCCGCACCGGGGAGTGCTGCAGGCGGGACTGCGGGGGTACAGCAGGGATGGGGGCAAGAGCCGCACTGGTCCTGCGGGGAAACGAGGTGTGGGGCTGCTCAGAAACAGGCCCTGGGGCTGGCAGAGAGGGACATGGAGTGGGACCAGGCCGGCCGTGAGGGAGCGGCCGCCTCTGGGCCCGCCCGAGGTTTGTCTGGCAGCGCTGCGGGGAGCTTTGCTCGCAGCGCGCCCGGGAGTGATGGAGTTGTGCTGGGCTTTCCGTGACAGCGCTGCTCCCCTCTTCCAGATGCTCTGGGGAAGGCTGGATATTCAGGCCAACGGGACAATCCGCCTGCGGGATGAAGAGCTGGCCTCCCTACGCCCGGCACGGCGCTTCCTGCAGATTTTAGAGGAGGAAGTTCCCAAAACACCGGCAGAGATTGAGCAGCATCTGAGATATTATTCACTGACTGACACTCCCTTGCCTCCGACGGAGTTTGACCGTCTCCTTTTCACCAGTGTTTACAGTGCCTATCAGGTTCGCTCCGTGCAGGGTCTGGATAAAAATCCCTGGATTGGCTTTTTCTCTCAGCTGGTTGATGAAATCTTTCGTGACCTGTGCAAGGGGCTCTGCCCTGCAAATACCACTCTCCTCCAGGCTTCCTGGCCTTGGAAGGACAAACCTTCACATTTAGCATCCCTGAAACATTTCTATCGCTCTAACCTGGCCAGGACCAAGAGAGACACTTAATGAGGGAACCCTCCATAGGAAACGGCACCCCTGGCTTCACCTGTCTCCTTGGTTATTTTCAATGCTTTCCACAGTGTGCAGGACTTTGAATAAATATGCCACACCTTTTTGTTCTGCTTTCTGCACAGTGCTGGCCACCCTCTCAGGATTTATGCACAAGCTTGTATTTTTAAATGAAAAAAGGACAAAACTGTAAAGAGCATTTCTCCCTTTTCTGATTTTTTGCTAAGTGGGCTGTGCTGAAGGGGCAGTGCTATTTAGATGTCTTATCTATCTTGATCACTTAGGAGAGATGGCATGGAAGTATTTTTCCAGGATATTATGCTGGATCAGCATTATCTTCATTTCAGATAATTAGTTCTCTCTCCTTATATTCTCCCTGTGGTTTCAGACAAATAAAAGATCTTCTCTCCAGCAGCAACTAAGCAGGTTTTGTTGTGTTTCATGATATAGGTCACATATTTAATTTCATTTTTCTCTTTATGTGGCATCATATTTTATGTGTCAACAGCAATTTCCCATCTCATGTATTCATTTTTCTTCAAAAAGCAACCTGAAATTGTATGTATTCCATGAAGCTTTCTAGTATTTGCATATCATATTTACACATACACACAGCTTTGTTTCAGTTATCATTTTGGAATATACTCCCTGAAATCTCATTTAAATTCTGGAGGATCCTGACCTAGTTATTTCTTCAGCAGATTTTGCCTCTCTTCTATAAAGTTTTTTTTTACAGCCATGGCATTTTTCAAGCCAAACATAATAAATGCATAGTCTCTATCCTCAAAATCAGAAATGTAATTATTTTACAGAAAGACATCATTAACATTTGTCTGTCTTAAACACTGTGTTGTGGAGTTAAATAAATGTAATTATCTCCTCAGGAGGGTTTTGATTTTGATTCTTGTTTCTATCAGATTTCCTGCTACTACTATAGGTATGAATTTTGAACATTGCTTGCATGTGCTTAGACAATGGGATCCATAATTCCCTTTCTATCAATATAATTTTTCCATGTTCAACAGAAGAGGCATGTGCGACCTTCAAAGTGGGAACTGCAGCTTCTGACCTAGTTAATCTTATTCCAAGCCATTGTAGCCCAACAGATGGAGAGGGGAAATAGTAAGGCAGGAACAAGAAGCCTGGAAGCAAGATGCTGCAGACAATGGTTTTAGAGGTCAGCTTAGGGTTATGACAGAAGGAGATAGATTTAAAGCAGGTTTTTTGTTGCTGGATTTTTGTTTTGCTTGTTTAATTTTGGTTTGTGCTATGGGGTTCTTTTTATTTGTTTCTTTGCTTGTTTTTCACCCCAAAGGATATAGGAATTAAAATTATAATTTTACTTGAAGTAAAACTTCTTGTCTCATCTAATGTTCTGTTATTCTTACGCTAGTTTTTTACATACTTCCAATCTTTACCCTTCACCCTTTTGCCAAATATGCCCCCAGTCTTTAATGTTTAGGATATGTATGGGGTGATAGAGGCAGTGAGTGGCTGCACTCAAGCCAATTTTGAGCAGAGTATCATCAAAAAGCTGAGCTGAGATGGTACTAGTGCATGAAAATACCGTCTTGTTGGAGAATGTACAGCCCTAGCCATACGGATATATGGAAAAAAGCTGAGTGGGCTGGCTTGTGACTCAGATGCCACCACACTGCTTTGAACTCAGGATTTTGTTAGGAGCAGTTTTAGAGCATTGCTGCCTGTTGAACGGATTATAAACTACACTGAAGTGACGTCATGAAGCTTTGTAGATGCTTAAGATGATGCACTTTTGCAGTTTATGTATTTTTGGGGTACAAACCAGGATTTTTGCTCAACTGAAACGGCACCAGTGGCGCTACAGTGAAGCCTCCTGTGCTCCCACTACCCCCTCAGCAAATCCGGCCGGCGCCCGCCCCTCTGTTTGTCAGGCTGTAGGAACACAGCAGCGTCCTCCACAGCCACAGCAGCCTCTCCACAGGGAAAACTCTCGCTGGAACTCGGCACGTACGAAACCTCTGGAACATGGATGCTGGAAACCTCCCCCGCGGTTCCTCTGACCCCGCCCGCAGGAGGCTTTCAGAGCAGCACGTGGTGGGCTAGCAGCACCCCTGTATTCAAGGGGCCCATTCCTGGGGAAGGTATCGCCCCTGCGGTCAGCAGTGACACTGCTGTGTGGTACTACTCACACTTGGTGTTGCGAGCCTGCTCCTGATCCAAATCTTTACAAATTTAAAAACACATTTCTTATTCTTCTTACTTTGCTTCTGGGCTTTCAGAGCATGGTCCATTCACAGATTTGAGCCCTTATCTTTCACTACAAGAAGCCTGCACTTTTGTTTGTTTCTAAATGTATTCTTTACATTAAATGGAAGCTGAGATTCTCAACTGCAGCTTCTTGACTTCATCTACATCAGATAAAGAAAAGCACAAACCACTGTCAAACTTGCAGTAAAACCATAAGAGGTACCAACCGTTCACATACACACAAATGATTTAAGAGTGTACACAGACAGACTGGCTCAGTAACATATCATCAGCTCACACAGTCACCATGCACCTCTCTCACCTGAGCTCCGTACTGGCTGGTACCTCAGCCAGTGACAAGCACGCAAGTCTCACAAAGTAGCAAAACTTCCAAACTGAGAACATTCTCATATTTTGTATTTTTATTACATTCATTTTCATTACATTTATTCCCTCCCTGGATAAACAAGGAAAGCCACCACACCCTTTGCTCTCTGGATGCTGGAGATCTGCAGTAACATGACTGCAGTAGTTCTCTGATCCTCAGCATCTCACTACAGTGCCCTCCCTGCCCCAAAACTACCTCATGCTTTATGTTAAATCAAACACCAACACGGGACACACAGCTACAACCTGAAAGGCCTCTCTATGGATGAATGGCACACACAGCAGTGGCCCTGCAGACAGGGCACAAGCGTGCAGCGTAAGGAAAGCACTGGACACATGACAGCATGCTCAAAGTAGAGGATGATATTCAGAGAAGCTATACCCAAGTTCATGGCACCTTGGCTCTTCTTATGCTCCTTTCACATCTGCATTTAATTGTTTGACCCTTGAGGTGAGCTGGCACCTGGCAGCCACTTTGGCTGAGCCTCTGAATAGATGAGGAAGCCTGTGAAGGTGATGTACTTGCCGTGGTTGCTGTAGGCACCGTAGCCATCATGCTGATGGCTGTAGAGCCAAACGGTGTCCCCGTATTGCAGAGGCAGCATGATGCTCTGGCTCTGCATCTCTCGCCGCTTGGAGTGGTTGTCATCATAGATCATGGCCTGCACCTCATTGTGGTTCTTCATCAGCTTCACTGACATGGTCTTAAAGGGCATTTTGCCAATGGTGAAGGAGAAATAGTATGCACCAGGTATACGGCATGTGAAGATGCCAGTGGAGGCATTGAAATCTTTTCCAATATTCACGAACTCTGTATCAAATGTGATTGGCTCGTGCTGGGTTTGCTTCTCATCTGTCCCCAGGAGACTTTGTGAGCGGGCAACAGAAAATGCAGAGCGAGGGTCTTGTACCCTCTTTGGCTGGTCAGACAACACACGTCGCTGTGAAGCTTCATTCTGCTCTCTGGGGAGCTGCTGAATTGTGTGAGGATGTGGCCCGAGCTCTTGAGAGTCAAGAGCATTCTGGAAGAAGGCAGAAGTGTCTGGATAGATCAGGTAGCCATTGAAAGTTGTATAGGGCCCCACATTGCTGTAAAGAGCGTACTTGGGATCTCCGTGTAAACGCAGCCACACTGTGTCCCCGTAGTCAAGCTGCAGCATGGCACTCTGGCTGGCCACCTTGCGTTCCTTGCGGTGATGTTCATCATACACAATTACCTGCACCTCATTCTTGTTTCTCATCAGCATGACAGACAAGTTTTTCTTTGGGTATTTCCCAACGGTGAAGGAAAAGTAGTAGGCTCCTGGGATCCGGCAGCGAAACAGTCCAGTCTTGGGGTCAAAATCATTGCCAATATTCACATATACTTTGTCAAAGGTAATCACCATCTCAGAGCTTCCTTCCATGCTGCTGGTTCTGGCCACAGAGAAGGCAGAGCGAAATTCAGTACTGGTGTCTGCTGGGAAGCCATCTGTAGGAAGAAAAATCATGCAGCAAAGGAGGCCAAAGATGATCTGAACGTTCAGTGTCATCATTGTATCTGGAAGAAAAAAGAAGCATATTTTAGCAGGAATAGCATTAATTTACAGCTCACAAATGAGTTGAAATCCAGACTTGAATATTGCTAAATAAACATGATCCATGTCCATGTCCATGGAAGATCCATGTCCAAATATTGAGAAATTTCCAGTGTGTTTTTTGAGCAGTGTATGGGACCACACCATAGTTCAGATCCCAGCACCACTTTTATATTTTCCTAGTGAGAGCTGGACATTTTTAACCTGTTCTTGTGGAAAGAAAAAGCATCTTCTCCTTCGAAAGCCTGACTATCCTACAGCTTGACTGCAAAACACCATGTTGCTCACATTGCAGAGGGATCTCAGAGCCTGCTGGGGATTTGCCAGAGCTCCCTTTTGTTGTGCCTTTTTTTATTCATAAGACCAAGGATGAAACAAAGCCCTACACAAACCCTGCATTATACAATGGAGACACAGCTGGAGGGCAGGGAAAAGAGGACATATGCTCTAGAGATTCCCATGCAGATGCCATTGCCTCACAGTGCAGTAGTTGTTTCACAGGATGTGGAAGCTGGAAGCCAAGTAAGCTGTTAGATCCCATTATTCCAACATGAATCTGTGGAAAGTATAAAGAAATATGAAGAAGAAGGAATGTTTAGGGAAGGAAGACAATGGAGAAAATTGCTCAAGTAATAAAAAAAAGAAGGAAAACAAAATGGTAAGTAAAAGGAAACTCTCCTAAAGTGTACAATTTCTGAGAGAGAACTGAAATACCAAAAATAGGGAAACAACTCCCTAAATGGATAACAGACTAGACATAAAAACTTCTTTGACCCCTAAAAAAGTTAGGAGCTAATAGGATTTTCTGCTAAATTTTTTTTTTTGGATTGAGGCCAAAAATTATCTATTAGTGCTTTCAGGCTGGAAACAAAACTGCCAGTCATTCCAGTGAGAAGCTCCTCTTTCTGTCACCTCTCGGTGCTTATTAAAATATCATTCAGGCTAGGAGGCAACTG